TTTTTTTTTTTTCAAATTGTAGGGGTATGTATGTTTGTCGTACCCTCAGTTACAAAGGAGTGGAATTTGAGGTTATTGAAGCACCATTAGAAGCTGAAATGGAGGTATGAACACTTCTCTGCAAGTGTAATGTATAAGTATAATGAAGGCATCACAAAGATCTTTGAGAAACTTAGTGTGAGAAGTGCTGGTTTTGACTTGATATGCTCTTGGTGTTTGAATGCTTTTCTTTCTTTATGTTCCCTGCTATTTATTTGCTTATTTATTTTGATGTTAGGTGTCGTATAAGCCAGCAGCAGAGTTTTGGGCAGAGTTGCGGGTGGAGTTACTAACAGCCAGTGCTGTCCTTAATGGCGATAAACCTAATTCCAGTCAGCTTTGGAGGTTATATTGGTCTAGCCATCAGGTATATGATATTTTCTGGGTCTTTTGGTTCCAGAAATGTTTTCTTCCGTCTATATATTTCTTCTGTTTAGTTGTGCCATATGAGTTTATTACCATATTTATTTATTTTCAATTTGATTCTCCTTGTGCTATTATAGCGTTTCTTCAGACACATGTGCATGTCAGCTAAGGTCCCTGCAACTGTGAGGCTAGCCAAGCAAGCATTAATGGAAGATAAGTGTGTAGTTATTGGTCTTCAGAGTACTGGGGAGGCTCGGACTGAGGAAGCTGTGACAAAATATGTCTGTATCTTTGATCTCCCCTCTTGTGCCCAGATGGTTTTTATTTCTTGTGTAATTGATATTTATTTCCTTGTCTGACACAGGGTCTTGAACTTGATGATTTTATTTCGGGACCACGAGAGCTGTTGCTGAAATTTGTGGAAGAAAATTATCCTTTGCCTGAAAAGCCCGAACCTGACCAAGGTATTCTTTGCATTTGTTGCTCTAAGCTGGCCTGATCAGCCCGTTGCCCTTATCAGATGTTAATTACTAATTTTCTTGTATAGAAGAGGAAACTGTAAAGGAACTTCAACGTAAGAGGCACTCAGCAACGCCTGGTGTTTCGTTTAAAGGGAGAGTTAGGAAGGTTGCCAAATGGAATCCAGCAAGTGATGGTGAAAGCGATGAAGATTCTGAAAGTAAGTTTTTGAAACAGTTAGAACATTGATGGTGATTATGTTTGCAGTTTAGATGGTGATGGACATTTTCAGTTTAGGGACCTTACATTGTAAACCCCCAACACTCACTCTCCCAAATAATGGTTGTTTCCTTCCTTTCTTTCTGTTTCTTTTGTTTTGTTTTTCCAATTCATTTTGTGTGTGTGTGTGTGCATGTGAATGGGATGCTTCTTTTGTATTGTGTTGTGGATCTATTAACAGATTATCTGATATTCATGGCTATCGTTTCTGACACTTACAAAAATGTGATATCATTTGCCATTTTGTGTTTGAAGCTGTATTTCTCGAGATTTTTCTCTTTTCTAATCTTGTACTGTACCCTCCTCTGATATTTTTTGTCCCCTGTCTCTTTTCAGTTTACGTACATTACCTTCTAAATTATTTGCTTGATCAATTATCAATGTAGGTGATTCTGCACCTGAATCTACTGAATCCGATGATGAGTTTCAGATCTGTGAGATGTGCAATACTGAGGAGGTAATTTATTTTTACTTTGATTAGGTATTTTGTTTGCTTGCAATATGTTATTAGCTTTTATGTTTTCCTTCAGGAAAGGAAGAAGTTGCTTCAATGTTCCTGCTGTGGCAAGCTTGTCCATCCTGCATGTTTAGTGCCGCCAATTACTGATGTCATACCTGATAAATGGTCATGTTATTCATGCAAGGAGAAAACTGATGAATATATTCAAGCAAGACGTGCCTACATAGTAGAACTTTCAAAGAGGTTTTGTATTTTTGGTTCCTTTCTTCTAATTTGTTCTTGTTCTAATATTCAAACTTTTAATAGTGGTGGTAGTGGATATTATGTGGTTATATATGAGGTAGAATTTTGATCTCAGGTATGAAGCTGCTTCAGAGCGTAAGTCAAAAATTTTGGAGATAATTCGTTCTTTGGATCTACCAAATAATCCCTTGGATGACATTATTGATCAGGTATATCTCATGTATTGATCTCTTTCTTAGAGGCTTGCTAATGCACTTAACAACTTTTCAATATCAAAATTAGATTCTTTCAGGTTGCAAATAAGGGAATTAATTATGTGATTTGATTATTTATTGGAACCAACCCTTAACCTGTTCTTTCAGTGAGATTAATTTTCCTGGGAATTTTTTCTTCCCTATTCTTTGCTTACAAGTTTTAGTATTTCCCATAAGTAGGTGGTAAACTCTATGTAGCCTGATTTAGTTGCGATTGCAGCTGATACTATTGTCCTTCTTAACCTTACAAACAATGCTTATGCAGCTTGGGGGTCCTGATAGAGTTGCAGAAATGACAGGGAGGCGAGGCATGCTTGTAAGGGCCTCCAGTGGAAAGGGTGTAACTTACCAGGCACGAAACACGTGAGTTTGGATACCATGTATTTATCTTCCAGTGATGATTCACTTCAACTTGCTATCTAAATCATCTATTCCATATTGTTAATTTCTTTAGAAAGGATGTAACAATGGAAATGGTCAACATGCACGAGAAGCAGCTCTTTATGGATGGTAAGAAGTTGGTTGCCATAATTTCTGAAGCTGGCTCAGCTGGGGTGTCCTTGCAGGCAGATAGAAGAGCACTGAATCAGGTAAGCTATTTGGCTGTGTGACCCGAAAATTGCCATTTTTGCATTTTCTTTCATGCTTTTGGTTTGCTGTTTGAAAACTGAGTCTTGTGTTTAAAGTAACTTTTCAGAAATTTTATACACTTTTTTCTTTCCAATTTGCCACCTTTCTCATAATCTACTGTTTTGTCTCACTACAGAAAAGAAGAGTTCATATAACCCTAGAACTTCCTTGGAGTGCTGACCGGGCAATTCAACAATTTGGAAGAACTCATCGGTCAAATCAAGCTTCTGCACCTGAATACAGGTGGGACAATCTTTCTTTCGATGTCTGCCTGTTGGTTGAAAATTTCACATCAATGCTTAATTTTTTATCCTTTTTTTTCTAAAATTTTATTTGTATCTTAGTTATTGAACTAAAATAATTGTTACTCATTGTTTACAGGCTTATTTTCACAAATCTTGGTGGAGAGCGTCGCTTTGCTTCCATTGTTGCCAAGAGGTTAGAGTCTCTTGGAGCCTTAACACAGGGAGATCGCAGGTAATTTGGAAGTCCTTACTATAACTTTTTTTTTAAATTTTTGTCTCAGACTTTCAGTAAATTAACACGTGCTTTATTTGATCTTCTAGAACTGATGTTTAACTATATGTTCACGCCCAATATATATTTGTGAATTCTAGTTAAGAAATGCCCTAGTTTCTTTTCTCTAATTTTTTGAATCTGAATCTTCAATATGGATCATCACTCTTTGACATAACTAGTACCCTACTCCCTCCAAGAATGATATTCTGGCTCAACTCCATGCCTTTTTTGATTGTTTCTTATTATCATAATGCAACTGGATGTGTTGCAGGGCAGGACCATCTTTGAGTGCTTACAATTATGATAGTGCATATGGAAAAAAGGCATTGATGGTGATGTATAGAGGGATCATGGAGCAGGTTCGCATAATATTCTTTTATTAATGTTACATTTATCATTTTGCATGCCAAATAAGTAGAGGCTAGATAAGACAACAATGGAGGAATAGCTGAAGTTTTGTTCTCAGGATAAGTTGCCAGTTGCGCCACCTGGATGTACATCAGAAAAACCAGATACAATCGAAGAATTCATAACAAAAGCAAAAGCTGCTCTTGTGTCTGTTGGAATAATTAGAGACACAGTTCTTGGTAAAGCTTCCTGCAATTTCATTTCTTTACAAGTAAATAGAACAGTTTTTGTTATGCTTGCTCTCTTGGTGTTACTACTTACTGTGGATTAATGTTGATATGTAGTGCATATTGTTTGATTGTAATGTCAGAAAATAATTGAAGTATCAAGTTCATATTTTTGCTGCAGGTAATGGGAAGGACAATGGAAAGCTCTCTGGCCGTATTGTCGATTCAGATATGCATGATGTTGGTCGTTTCCTGAATCGGCTTTTAGGACTACCACCAGATATTCAGAACAGGTTCATGGCTTGTTCATTAGAATATACTTGCTGCTGCAGTTAAGAGTCATACTTAAGATGCCGTATGATCGTTCTACATGCAGGTTATTTGAGTTATTCATCAGCATCTTAGATGTTCTTATACAAAATGCCCGAATTGAAGGGAATCTTGACTCAGGAATTGTTGATATGAAAGCTAACATTATTGAATTGCAAGGAACACCAAAGGTTAATTTCTCTCTGTTACCATGTTGGTTGCATTATATTTTGATTATTCTAACTTTTATTTTCTAACAGACTGTTCATGTTGATCAAATGTCTGGAGCATCAACAGTTCTGTTCACTTTTACTCTGGATCGTGGAATCACTTGGGAGGTACGCTTTTCCATTTGACTTAACTGTATGAAATACCCATTTCATTAAGATGTCTAAAATTATTACATGTATCTGGCTTTTATCTGTATTAGTCTGCAAGTATCATGCTTGATGAGAAGAAAAGGGATGGGCTTGGTTCAGCTCATGATGGATTCTATGAATCTAAGAGGGAATGGTTGGGACGGCGTCACTTTATTCTTGCTTTTGAGAGGTACTTTTTTCTTTATGCTGCCCTTTTGCCTTTATTTTTTGTGTGCTTTGATTGTTATCATATTATACTCTTCTTTTGTCCCAAAACATACGATATTGATGTTGGTTCCTAGTATTTAAGCAAGGCTAGGAACAGAACAAGAATGGCTTCTTTAATAGACTGAATAAAGTTTTTCCTCTTGCATTTTGCATTTGGATGATTGTCCTAATGGTGTGTGTGTTCTATAGATGTATTGGGCTTCTGACCTAGCTAATGTTTTTTTTTTTTGCACTGAATTGTGCTTCAGCTCAACCTCTGGGTTCTTTAAGATTGTCCGCCCTGCTGTTGGGGAATCAGTAAGGTATCAATCTAAAAGTCAATGAACTTTTCTACTTACAGATTTCTTGTCGACCACAATCAAATTTATCTCCCCAGGGAAAATGCCTCTGGCAGAATTTAAAAACAAATACAAAAGTTAAACAACTTTTCTACTCTTAAGATTTATGGTCACCCACTGTAATATTTATCTCTCCAGGGAAATGCCTCTGGCAGAACTAAAAAACAAATATAGAAAGGTTTCATCTCTAGAGAAAGCCCGTAGTGGATGGGAGGATGAGTATGAAGTTTCTTCAAAGCAGGTATACATCCAGAATGAAAATTTACTTTTCTAAGAATTTCATTTACTCTCTAGTATCTTCCTTTGAAGAAAATTTTGATGCTTATCAGGATGTACCATGTATACTTCAATCTGAACTATTTTTATTAAATGATTTATCTAGTTCAATGTTAATTTGGTTTTCTACTGGGTTACTGTTTCTTATTCCTGCAGTGCATGCATGGCCCCAATTGTAAGCTTGGCAACTATTGTACGGTTGGAAGACGACTCCAGGAAGTTAATGTTTTGGGTGGTCTCATTTTTCCAGTTTGGGGCACTATTGAGAAGGCCCTTTCTAAACAGGTGACTTTAACCTTGTCTCATGCTTTAAGTAATCGTATAGTGACAGATTCGCTATTTGTATTGCTGAGAAGTTTATCATGGGATCTTCCTGTTTAAATTGGAAACCCACTACGCCACTTTTGAGCTAACTCTTAATCAAGAATTGCCAATACAGCATCTCATGGAAAAGAACGTCAGTAATCCATATTTTACACTTTCAAGTGGAGTAGTCAGTAGTACGAGTACTTGTTGCTCTTCTTTTAACATCTAAATTAGTGAAGTTCCTTTTTGTTATTTCGTGACATGCTGTTAGTCTGTATTGGAGGTTCTTGAGCCAAAATCTAAGTCTACGTATATACATGCTCTTCATGATGGCATAAAATTTCACTATTGCAAAACAATTTAATGTTTGATTGTGTGGAAAGTTTTATGCTCTTCACAATTCTTTGTATGAAATTGCTTTTCAGCAACTAAAAGCTGAATTGACCTTTTTGCAGGCTCGTCAAAGCCACAGGCGCCTTCGTGTTGTGCGGCTAGAAACCACATCAGATAATAAGCGGATTGTTGGGCTTCTTGTGCCAAATGCAGCAGTTGAAACCGTGCTTCAAGGTTCTTTCTCATAATTACTAATAACTCAAGCCTCCTGACCCCATAGACAAATTCATGCACTCAATTAATATTCTATTCATTGGTTGGTGTCCCTGTCACTAGATTGAGGATTAGAAAAAGTATTAACTTACCAGAGTCCTAGTTCATTTGATAAGATACCGAAAGTTGACTTCATCCCCTCCGCCCCGGGGGAGCATGCAACCTTCTTTCTTTAAGACTAGAGGAACTAAATTTGGCCATATACTTGGGATATCTGAGATTTGATTTCTTGTTATCATATATCTGAAGTACAGATACTAACCCGCATAACTTGAAACATCTTTTGCTTGCAGACTTGGCATGGGTTCAAGATATTGAGGATTAAACAAGAGCAGCAGTAATTTTGCTTAATCTGATAGTCTTTGTGAAGGTGCTTTTTGAGGGAACATAAGCAAGTAAAATGGAAGCAGCACTAGCTTTGCACAGAGAGGACAAGGCGAGCTGCTCTGAACCACGTTACTGATGTGCAGCCTTATTCATTTTGATTTTTTTGAATTATAGCTCCATTTTTTGGCATATAATTCTGTATATTATCAACATTGTCATAGAGGGAAAATAGACAACAATCTTCCCTAGGATGTAGAAGAACTTGGACTAACTTGTAAGGGAATTTGTCATTCAAAGTTATAACTACAATAGAAAATCATTTTTGCTCAAGATTTACTGTCCACAAAATCCAGATGGCAAACCGAACAGTAAGGACACCAAACAAGCCCCCTTCATAATGCACACAGAGGTCAAATTATTAATTTTTGTTTTTGTTATCAGGGACCATTCAGCTTAGGATCAGCAAATAAATGGAGCATCGACATGATCGTCGCTGCAGTAGAGGCCAGGACGCTGAGTAAAACTCTGTCTTTTAAGCATTTTCCTTGCTTTTGAAACAAGCTCATGGTTAGTAATCGAACCATCTGTCTCAGCAAGTATTGTCTGAATGGCATTGCTACAAGCTCCATAGGCTTCAGCAGAACCGCCGGAAGGACTGGCATCAGCAGAAGTTTGGAAGGTCTGGCAGCCACTGATCAAAATCCCGCCATCAGGAAATGAGCGCTTGGTTGATCCAGCATAAACCTCTTGCTTGCTGCCCACCTCTGTTTCCAAGGCTGGTTTTGCGTAAGACTCATCATTCTCGTCTAGCTTTTGCTTGAGAAACTCTAGTGCCAAACTACCAACCTTCCCCAAGAAACCACCACCTCCATTTTCACCATCGCTGTTGCTGTGATGGAGTTTGTTCAAGATGAACTTCATGAATTTCTTAACTTTGGGGCTGGCATCTTCACCAAAGATATCAAAAAGGGTTGGCCTCAGCTTTCCCACGTCAATGTCATCTTTACCAGTTTTCTGCTTTAGTATTTCAATAAGAGTTGAGAGAGGCAGAGATTTACTCTTCACATAGCCATAATCCCCAAATCCTTCTTCAACTACTCCCCTGTCATTGTCTTCCTCTTCCTCATGGCGGTAGTGGTGGTGGTGGCGCAATTCAGAAGGGACATGAATCCCTCGAGATTCAAATGCATCTTGTACCTTCTGGTGCAAGAAGTCCTTGATCCCAAAACCCAAACTCGATTCTTGAGGCTTTGTGCTCTCTCCAATTTGCTCTTTAGTCTTATCAATCAGCCCACCACTGTGACAAGAATCAGATACAATTGTTATGCGGCAACCTTCTGGGACTTTGTCCACAAACTCTCTAAAGTCATCATCTGTTCATAAACACCACAATAGTCATTTAGCAGCATAAAAATATAAAACTTGATCATCAAGCACCATTTCTGGATCCTGTCTGGCAGTAAAATGTCTATTGGGTGGAGTAAGTGAGGAAAAGCACAAACCAGCAAAAGGGACACTAAGATGACAAGAACCATGACATATCAATCACCAAAAGAATCACAATAACAAGCAAATCAACCAACAAAAACCATACCCCACAATCATCGAGCAAATGATCTGAAAGCAAAAGGGGAAAAGGAAACGATCAAGAAGATCCTACAACCAGAACAAAGATCTAACACCTAATCACTAAATAGTCAGTAAGAAAGTCAACAAAGGTCAGGATCTAGAAAATCCATATCAAAACCAAAGGGTAAAAACACCAATACAAGAATCAAAGAATTCAGTTGCACCCAAGATCAAAGATCCTCAGATAAACCCCACAAAAAATTTGATACTTACAAGGAACCCAATAATCAAAGATGATCAAGAAATTGAACGCAGCCATACCAGTGATGAGATTCATGTCGCAGGGTACAATGCACTCATCATATCCGGTATCATCATCATCCCCTGTCTCAGCCGGAAGCCTGGTGCCATGTCCACTGTAGTGCACAAACAAAAAATCACCGGGCTCAGCAGAGCGCACGAGATCATTCAACACCCTGCGGATGTTCTTGCCGGTAGGCTTGGTGTGGGAATCGTCAGTGTCGATGACGACGATGATGTTTTCCTCAGAGAAGCCGAAGCGATCGACGAGGCACTCGTACATTCTCCGAACATCGTTTATGCAGCCTTTTAGCTCTGCCTTGGTACCGGGGTAGTTGCATCCGATCAAGACTGCTTTCTTCGCCATTTCTTGGGTGGCAGAGGGAAGGAAGAAAGAAGGTTGATGTGGTTTGAAACTTGAGTTTTATTGGATTTGATGAAAAAGGTAGGCGGATAGGTTGATGGATAAACTGGAGGTGTTATATGGGGGAGAAAATATACTAGTAAGTGTTATCGTGGTTATTATCTGATTAGTTTTATTTATTTATTTATAATATTATATATTTAAATTATAAATGATCATCATAAATTTGTAATTATATGATATTATAATATAATATTATCAAATTTAATAGTTGTTCAATGCACTGTCAACTATAAAACATAAAATCTCTTTGTGGTTATAGTTATTAACATATTATAAATAGTTGATGCTATATCTTTTTAATAGAATTACTTATTATGTTTTTATGTTATATTTTTAAAAATTTTATTTTTTATTTTTAACAAATTAAAGAATATAATAAATTAATTAAAATAAAAAAAATAGTATTAGTAATTGAAATTGTGGGAATAATATCATCTCTAATTTGTTCACTGATGGACATTTCTCCGTCTCTTTTCACTCTTGGTCATTATCGAAAGCATTTGACTCGCAATTGCAAACTCTAGAAAATACTACTAAGTACACAAATTTTGAACAAATTCAAAATTGACGATACAACATTTGCTCATTTTGAAATAGGAAAATTTTGAAGGAAAAATTATCATGTGATACCATCTAATTGCAATCAAACCTTATTTTGTGTTATATAATCATTGAATTGTCTATTAAAAAAGAATTTGATTCGAAAGAAAGCTAATTTTTTTTATATTATTTAGTGTCAGTTATTCATTTAAATTATCTTTATTTCAAACCAATACAAAAATTATATTCTTATTTTCAATTGATGTGAAAAATATATCCTTATTTCAAAAAAACTAAACTTTGTCTCTTCATTTTTTTATAAAAAAAAATTAGTGTTAATTTGGTAGCTTGCCAACCATTTTTGGTTGTTTTTGCTTTTCATTAACTTTTATACTAAAAAAGGTTTTTGTTTTTCTTTCAAATAAAGGTTGAAGTCGGCCAAAAAA